GCCCAGTCAAAACCGGTGATTTTGCCCCCGTTTGTAGCCCTTTGTAGTAGTTTATGCCCTTTCTGTCCCTTTCCGTTCCAATAAATGGCAGATTGTCCTCCAGAGCACTGCCACATGTCCCGATTTGAACAACGTGTCAACATTGCAAGTCAGGTTGATCGAGCGAGAAGTATGGGGTCGACACCACGGTTCTGCTGCATGCCAGCAGGCCCAGCACAACGCCGGGCTCCAATACGCCGCAATCCACAGTCTCGCGTCCTGGGGCTACACTTAGTGGAATACCTATGAAGACTCCGATGTAAGTTTTTAGGTATTCCACTAAGTCTGCTCCGTGTCCCGCACATATGCTGCGGATACAGCATATGTGCAGCATTGTCCACCCCAACGACATGCGAACAATTCACGTATGTATACTTTAATATCCTCTTGACCCCATAGATGCATGTTGAGTGGCACTTGCTCCGCAATTCTGTCTCGAAGCCGAGGCTGTATGAAGGTCGGATGAAGTGCAGCTGACACGCCGACTATGCATAGACGCAGCACGCCGTCATCGTACTGGCAGTTCTCTCAGCCCCAGAGCGAATATATAAGCTTTAGTATGTCCTGCACTTCCTCCTTATTCAACTACTCTAAGTCATCCTCAGATCTACACTGATGCATCCAAACGATCAAGGGAAAGTTTATTGCACCTGTACGGAGCGCTGCGGGGGTGGCGCGTGGGTGTCTGACAGAACCTACCGTGACCACCGCAATTTCCGTAGTGCCGAAGACCAAGCTCGCTACGTCCCACCGCAGTTTCAAGCCTACTTGGCTTCGAGAGGCGCTTCCGCCAGTGATGGGTCACTCACCACCAAGAAGCGAAGGCTCGCACCCGAGGGCGGCAATGGTAGAGTAAGTGATCTACATCATTTGACTAAATTGCCAGCTAATCATCGATCTAATATATTCCAGACTGGGGCTTCGATGGCTGCCTCCGCGATGAGCCCCTCGGAGGGCAACCAAGAGGCCATCGCTAGCAGTTCACGGGATGCAGACCTGTTCGGTGATGGTCCAGACGATGCCAGTGCATACCGTGAGCTACCAAGTCTCCTAGACGTGTCAGATGACGAAGATGATGAAGAAGAGGATGGTGAGGAGTTTGAGGAAGACGAGGATTGCAAGGATTGCGAGGACCGCGAGGAAGACCACGACGACGAAGTCTCCCAGCACGACTCCGACATTGACATTGGGGACAATGATGAAGATGTGCCTGTTCCCGTGGATGAGGGTGCGGAAGAGTGGGATGAAGGCAGAGTCGGGACTGAAGAGGAACATGAAGAATACGTTGGCTCTATTGATGATATCAAGTATGCTGATCAATTTATCAAGCTTCTCAAGGCAGCGACCTTGGATGATGGCCACTCCCGCCTTGATGATGATGTTCTTGAGCGTCTGCTCAATCCACCCAACACCACCTTGGATATTGATGACCCCGACACTCGTTTCTCTATACGGGTCTATCTTTTGCTTGCGGAAGCTTCCGAAGACTGCTACGCCTCGATGCAAAGAGCTGTGGCTGACCGCTTCGGCAGCTCAGTTAGTATGCTATCCTACTACGAAGTCTGGAAACTTGTTGGTGATCTCACTGGTGTATTTCCCATTGTCTACGACATGTGCGAGCGGAGTTGTATGGCATACAGCGGGCCGTATGCCGAGCTTGACCGGTGCCCATACTGTGACCACCCACGTTGGGATCCTAAGAAGAGCAGAGGTGCGACGCATGTTCCTTACAAGGTGTTTTCTACGTTTCCCATTGGGCCGCAGCTGCAGGCCCTTTGGCGGTCGCTTGAGAGTGCTCAAGCGATGCAGTACCGGCGCATCCGTACTGAGCAGCTCCTCTCTGAGCTCGAAATTGGTCAGCTACCGCACCTGGAGGAGTTCGACGATCTGCTTTGTGGGAATGCCTATCTCCGAGCGGTCAATGAAGGGCATATCGAGGACGATGATGTTGTCCTCATGCTCTCTGCGGATGGCGCCCAACTGTACAAGAACAAGACATCCGATTTTTGAATCTACATTTGGGTGATTGTTGATCTCTGACCCGACAAACGTTACAAGAAGAAGCACATCCTCCCAGGTGCAATCATCCCAGGCCCAAATAAACCTAAGAGTCTCGAGTCTTTCTTGTTCCCTGGGCTGCATCATCTCTCGGCTATCTCGAGGGAACCTGGTCTGCCCATCTGGAGCGCTCTCACTCGTCAAGTCTTTCACTCGCGGCCTTGGTTTCTTCTAGCCCTTGCAGATGCTCCGGGAATGGCTGCGCTGAATGGTCTTGTCGGGAGCCAGGGTCAGCATGGATGCCACATCTACTGCCCTCAGAAAGGACGCCGGAAACAGGGCGCGAGCCGCTACTATCCTGTGCGGCTCAGCCCCGATTCTGCAATTGGCGGGTCTGACTCTACTGATCGTGATCTCAACCCCCCTCACCCATCGCAGGAGGAATACGACCGAAATTTGAGGCGACTTAAGACTGCACAAAACCCAACTCAGTACAAGGAGTACCGGCTCGAGACAGGCATCTGTAAGCCCACTATTTTCAGTGGTCTGTCCCATAGCTTTGGCTCTCCCCGCATCTTCAGTGTTGACATAATGCATCTTCCGGCCCTCAATATTCCAGATCTGCTGATTCCACTGTGGCGTGGCACCCTCGAGTGTCCAGGTGAGGACAAGCGCACTTGAGAGTGGGCAGTTCTCCAAGGTGATGTCTGGATCAATCACGGTGCTACCGTTGCCAGCTGTCGACCCTATCTACCCATGTCTTTTGGGCGTGCTCCCCGTAATCCCGCCGAGAAGATCAGCAGTGGATACAAGGCTATCGAATACATGAACTATATATACGCCCTTGGTCCAGGCGTATTCTATGATGTTCTGCCTCTTCGTTTCTGGCAGAACTTCCGCAAATTAGTCTATGGGGTCCGTATCATCTGCCAGCGCAAGATTACAAGTAAGCAAGTCGATGATGCTCATCAGGCTCTTGTCCACTGGGAAGATGAGTACGAGCGGCTGTACTACTGCCGCAAGGAGTCCAGAATCCCACTAGTACGGCCGTCGGCTCACACCATCACACACCTTCCACATCAGATCATCGAGTACAGCCCCGGAGTTTGCAGTTCTCAATATTGCACCGAGAACGCCATTGGATTCTCGGGCCACCAAGTTCGACAACCATCAAACCCTTTTGCGAACCTCACCCAGGTAACGCTTCGCCATGTCCGGCTTTCCGCACTTCAAGCAATGGTGCCTGGACTTGTGTCCAATGACGCTGGGCTACCACACGGTGCCATCGACTTAGGTGACAACTACACACTGATGCGTTGATAGACACTAACACACGACAACACCAAAGACCAAAAGAAATAAAACCTAAAACACCCAGCGGTATGGGTGTAGGCGGTCTAAGGCGATTGAAGGGTAATATTTAAGTTCGAAGGGAGGGGGAGAAGTTAGACGCCGTAGGGTAGCCCGTAGGAAAACCTAAAACAAACACAATCTTGAGGCCTGAAACAAACAGTATAGCGATTCTCCGGAGTATTTATCTCCGAAGTTCGACAGTAACCCGGGTGGGGAGTTCCACTGAACCCGAACAATAGTCTCGTGCCTACAGACGCTTGGTGAATTTTATACTTTAAATCCGGAGCTTACTTGGATCGATATGCGATGGCGGAGTTATCTAGTTTCGACAAGTCCGGCCTATTGGCAAAGCTAGGATTGATTGTAGACGCTAAGTCCGACGCGAAGGGACTCCGAGGGTCGCTGAGACGATAATTCTGGTACGCTGAGAGGGTGAAGTACAAAACTTGGATTTTCCACTACGCTCTATACATTTTTATGCTATTGGAATGGTTTTGCGTCCGCCCGGAGTTAAATAACAAATATGCTCCGCATCCCACACAATTACAGTCGACTCTGTCTTAACCCATAACGGGTCGTGGAACCCAAAAGTTATGGGTTTCTGCAGACTATGGGTTACCAGAATGTGTGACATTGTGTGACTACCTAGTACACGTGACAGACAGCCTATCCGGTATAGGCCGGACGTCGTTTATGACACCGTTTAGATACGGAATCTTGAGTCTGGTATGGGTTATCTTCTGAAATACCACGAGAACCAAAAATTAAGGGTTCAGATGGTCCAGATTCTCGTGAGAAGGAAGACCTGTACCTTCCTAATATAGGTTGTTTTATGGGTTATGACCCTTCAGAAAGCTATGGGTTATGGGATACGGCAGACTTATGGGTTTTTACTATCTACCATGTCGGTGGAAGCCAAAAACCTATGGGTTATTACAGGTTATGGGTTATGACAGGTATGGGTTAAGACAGAGTCGACTGTGTTTTGTTCTGTTCTCAGATCAGCCACCAATCCAACACAAGAGCAAATAGCTCGGTACTTACCGCCCGAATGACGGCTTCCATGGCCACCTGTTGACTTAAGG